CTTTTCTAAGCGTTCTTGTACTGGTGCCTGCTGATAACTTCTTTGTCCTTAACTGCCCTTGTCCATCACATATTCTGATTCTGTGCCTGCTTGTCCCATTGGATATTTCCAGATGCAAGTGCTAAAACACATTCCTGCCTCAACACTGACTACCTTTGGGTACCACTCCACCCTCTTGGCTTTCAGCTTTGTTCTATTTAGGTTCTCAACATTTATAAACGTGGCCAGAATGTAATGCCCTTTTTTTTTTTTTTAATCATTGAAGATAGTTACTTAATATAATTTTTGTTTATCCTCCTCCCAAAAGACTTCTACTGTATTCCCAAATCCTTCCTTTCTAAAAAAAAAAAAAAAAAAAAAAAAAAAAGAGAGAGAGAGAGAGAGAGAGAGAGAGAGAGAGAGAGCTAGAAATGGAAATAATATTGAATATTGACAAAGGTCAATAATTTGGAATTATACCCAACCTTGGTCTCCTCCTAACCACTGTATTATACTCATGGTTCTGTATGGTTTTTAACTTTTTCTCCTAATTTTAATTTATTCCTTCCGAGTTTTAAGTGTTTCATCATAGTGGCTTGGATTTTTTCCAATCCCATGATTATCTCTCTATTAAAGCCTTAATACAAAAAGAAATTAAAAAAAAAAAACAGACTGCTCATTACTTTGATTTGTAGCAAAGAGAGAATGGAACATTATCGCTAGAGTGTTTCAAGAAACCATATTTACATTTGCATCAGCTCAATTTAGGTGCCTGATTAGGTTGCGTGTTATGATGAAGATGCACTTACAGTCAGAGGGAAGTGGCGTGGTCTAGATAATGAGCAGGAGACTACAAGTCAGGAGCCTTGAATGCTATTTCTGGTTGTTCCTCTCTGCCTCTCTGACCTTGAACAAATAAGTCCGTCTAATTGCCTTGGACCTAATCGCCTCCTATGCCTTATAGGACTGCTGTGAGAGTTGGATCACCTAAGTCTTTATTATGGAGTGAAGCAAGAGAGGGAGGTTGGGGATCACAAATGGAATTGGAGATGGGACCTCGCTCTGATGGCTCTGACTAATAGCCTAAGAGTCAGTGTCTGAGAAGTGGGCTGACTGCTCAGATGTTGGTCTGACAGGGCTTGAGGGCATAATGAGAGGTTGGTTATTGGAACGTAAAAGCATGCCAAAATATTGAGTGAGATGATCAAACCATCCTTTTACTTAGGAAGGCTTAACAAGAGTACATATTGTCTTGCTTCTCGTAATGGTGCCATCCTGAGGTTGTCCATGTCACACCTGGGACCAGGTCTGGCAGTGACTGGCTCCTGTAGGACATCCTTAGGAAGGCCTGCTAAGCTGTCGATCTCTGACTTTAGGGGAAAGACTTTCCCCTGTGGTGACTCTAAAACACGCTTGAACCAGTTAGTTCCCTCTGTTAAGACTCTAAAACAGGCTTGAACCAATTAGTTCCCTCTGTTAAGCCTCAAGACCAGGAAGAGTGTGCCCAGAGAAGATCCATGCATTCTTTGATTGAGTTCCTCTCAGAGCAGAGAGGTGAAGGTTAATATGCTTAGAAAGAAAATAACTATTTTCTTTCTTATATAAGATGCTGGATGCTCAGCCCTTAGCAGACATCACAAAGACAGCACCTGTGGCTCTCATCTTGTTACCATCTTGCATTGGCTACTATTTGTTGAGGACAACCTAATAATGGTAGGTAGTAATGATTAAGCACTGTTCTAAGTGCTTTACATCAACCAACATATTTAATTTTCACATTAATTTATTAGTGTTGCACATTAATTTATTTGGACTATTTCTATTCTGATATTACAAAGAAGGAAATTGGAGAGTAAAGATATTAAATAATTTGCTGAGCATTACACAGCTAGGAAGCCACAGCTGCAGGCTTAGAAAACAGGTCAGCTAGCTCCAGAACCTTCCATCAGAAGAACGTAGGCCTATGTGAAAACAAATTTGAAAAATGGAGAGAGCATCAAACTCTGGGGCCCGTGGTTAGAAAGGTCAGAGCTATTCTAGAGCAGCATGTCATCTCCTGAAAGTGAGAACACATGCTGATATCCCAATAAGAATATGTGGGATCCAGAGCCTAACATGAGAACCTTGCCGTCGGCTAGTTCTGACCTGTTCGCACAGCTACAGGATGTCTTTCTCTTAGTGCGAGAGAGCTTCCTGGGATTCTGTACCAAACATCCCTCCTGTTGGAAAGACTTACTCTTTGTCATTACAGTTCATCTCCTTTCTTCTATGGAGAGCACACGAGAATATCATTTTAGATGGACCAAAAGCTTTCTTCTTAGAGAATTGAATGGATTCTGTTTGAGACTGAATATTGCACCATAATACATTTCTGATACTCTCTGTAAGCTTATTATCCTCTAACCTTCTGGATAAAGTGCCCTACTGGTCATGTGAGTGACCCTCTATGTATAGTTTAATAATTTCTTGTGACCCTCTTTCATCAGAGGAAGCAAGATCATGAATTTGTCAAAGGGAGTTGTCACTAGAGACCAAAGGAGAAGGGGGCTAAGAGGGAATTCCCACAGGAACAAGGAGGTGGATCACAATAAAGATGATACAACAAGTCTCCATGGAGCCACCACTTAGCTTGATAACTAAAGGCAAAACTCCCAGAATTCTCCTGGAGCAGCTGTGTGTGACCATTCTTTGGTCCCCCACCAAAGGGTCACAAACCAGAATGCTGCATGTCTGTGAGAATGAATGCTTACTGCCTCCCCAAGTACAGGTTCATGTGCAAGAACTGACACCCCCCCCAAAAAAAAAAACCCAAAAAACAGAATGACACCGTGTAAGAGCTTGTTACACTAAATGATCAGAAAGCCATTGCCAACCAATAGAACGGTTGATAATGCAGAAATGATTACACACTCTCCTCCCCATGGGCTAGCTCAGAGCTGCTACCAAGCCCTCCGTGGCTTCCAGGCTGGGGCTGGGTCTTGCTGAGAAGAAAACTGTTGAGAAGGAAACTGATAGTTGAATCCCTCCAGTTCTTACAGCCCTTGAAGTGGATGATGGTGTTGCAATTCTCAGCCTATTTCAATTCCAATGTACTTTCATAAATATATATATATATATATATATATATATATATATATATATATATATATATATATATATTTGTGTGATAACAGTGCTTCTGAAAGATTTGGGGTAAGCTGAAAAATCTAAGGTAAATTAAATCTCATTTTTGTGGACTGGAGGAATTTTCTGTTTAATATCTCTCTCTCTCTCTCTCTCTCTCTCTCTCTCTCTCTCTCTCTCTCTCTCTCTCTCTCTCTCTCTCTCTCTCTCTCTCTCAGGATTTTGTTTCTCTCAGCTGGATCTGTAACTCTCCAGCCCCTTCATCTGCATGTGCCTATGAGAATCATGTGCCAGGAAATAGGCCTCTATAAATGTATGTTCTTCCCATTTAGGAATCTTCCAGTGCTAAATACCTTAAACCTTGTTTCTGAGATACCATACTGACCCAAACAGATACCATGGTTATTGCAGACATTAAACAAACAAAAAAACCAACCTCTTAGAAATAGAATAATGCCTAAATATATTTCAAGAACCCAGATTCTAGAGTCTGACCATTTGGGAACTAGTGTGGGCTCACCATTTACTAGCTGTGTGTCCTTTGGTAAGTCCCCTAACTTCTCTGGACCTCAATTTCCTCAATTGTAAAAAAGGAGAAGTATTGTTCTTTTTTCCGGCATAGAGTTGCTAGAAGAATTAAAAGAATTAATGTACTGCCCTGGCCAGGTGGCTCAGTTGGTTGGAGCATCACCCCATGTACCAAAAGGTTGCAGGTTCCATCTCCTGTGAGGGCATGTTTGGAAACAGCTCGTTGATGTTTCTCCCTCTCTCTCTCTCTCTCTCTCTCTCTCTCTCTCTCTCTCTCTCTCCCTCCCTCCCTCCCTCCCTCCCTCCCTCCCTCCCTCCCTCCCTCCTTCCCTCCCTCCCTCCTCTCAATTCAATACAAATAAATGAGTTAATATACATAACACAGTGCTAGATCTAGCAAGAGGTCCACCCCTAGAGTATGTTCATATAACTAGACACACATGTTTCACATAGTTAACAACTTCTAGGTGCTTAATAAATAGGCTTTGTTTCTCCTTGTGCTTTTAAGATATTTTCTCTCACATTTTTTCATTGGGAACTAATTTGTAATTGGAAAATAAATGTCTTTGATAAGAGAAAATAAGTTCACCCAGGCTTTCAGGATTGTTTGAAGACTGGGGCATGGTGAGGGGGAAAGAGAATAGACGAGAGGGCAAGTGGGCAGAGGGATGAAGGGGACGTGAGAATTCAGGGATGCACTCTTGGGAGCCCCAGTGTAAGGATCTTGAGGTGCTTCCTGCTTTGCAAGTGCTGGTCCAGCAGTGGGGATTTTATCCCTGCTTTGTCACACGGGCCAGATGGGTCTCACGTTTGACTTTCTGCTCTCTGATACTTCTGAGGATGGGCACCGACGGGCCAGGAAGTACAGCCTGGTTCCCTAAGCAAGGCTAGCTGAGGCTGTGGTGTTGATAGGAATTTTGTCCCTTACCCCAAGCAGCTCCCCAGGCCTCTGGAGCAGGAGCAGGAGCAGGAGCTATCCTGCCTTCATTTGCATGTCTGGGTAATTACAACTCATAAAAGTATCTAACCCATTAGTTAAAACCCGGCCCCAGCATTTGACTCTAACCTCCTGCCGCAGCCCTGGCCACATGCTGACTCTTGCTGCCTCATTTGTCCTCAATTTATAAGCAGCGGAACCTATAAATAGAAACCCTTTTGCTAAGTTCCCCAGGAGGCATCAGCAGGTTTTCCAGCCTTTATGTGTTTTCTTCTTTCTTTTTTTAAACACCAACATGGTAGGCTTGTTTTTTTCTGCCCGCTGCTCCTCCAGCCCTCACTTCTAGCTCAGTCTGCGGGCATTCCAGCTGGCTCACCCGCCCGCCCGCAGGGCCTGTCTGTCCAGGTTGGGTTCTGAAGGAGGCCCCACTCACCTGTAGATCCTGTACCTGGTGGTGAACCCCTGGCGGTACCGCTCCACGAAGTCAGTGTACTCCTGAGCGCGATGGAAGGGGCCCCGGTCCGTGAGCAGCCAGTCCAGGGGCGGCTGGCCAGCTGAGGACGCATGCTGCTCAGGGACCACAGCAGCGGCCGTGGCCGAGACAGCCAACACCCAACCGGGGAGGCCCAGCACCAGCAGGGTTGTCCATGGGGCCGCCGCCGGCCGGAGCCCTCTAAACTGAGTGCCGCTCTGCCACCTCATGCTTCTCCCGGGCGGTTGGTGTCTTCATTCTCTCGCCACACTCTCCCCCTCTGAGCCTCTCCTCCAGGGCCCCTGGAACCAGAAAAGTACACATGGAGATGTCAGGCGAACACCCTGGTCTCACCAATGGGCCTGTGTCATCAAATATCAGTGGGCAGGACACATTCTAGGAAGAGCCCACTCAGAAGTTGGGGCCAAGTATCAATCCTGGATATTCCCAACTTAAAGGCTGGCCCAAGCTAGAGAGATCTAAGACTCAGCATCTGTATAGGATGCTCTCATCAGTCCCTGATCATAGGATGGAGGGACAGAAGCATGCGTGCCTGGACCTCCAGAGTCACTCCTCCACTCCAACTAGGAGATATTGACCACTTTATATGTGCAGGATGATTTTGAGAAGTTGCCCCAGTTAACACACAGTAAGAGAGTTGTATCAGCATTATTATTATTATTATTATTATTATTATTATTGGTTTACATTTCAGTGGGACTCAGTAGTTGAGCTAGGAAGATGCAGAGGTAGAATAGAATATGAACCTAGGTCTGGCTCCATGTCCAGAACTTGTGAAAGCATGCTGGGCTCTCTAAGGAGCTAGAGCAGGCAGCAAGGCAGACCCAGGCTTAAGGGACTAGGTGAGAGAAGAATAATGAGGCCATGCCTGCCCTACTGGATCTTAAAAGATATTATAAAATTCCAATAATTAAAACAGGTGATACTGACCCACAAATTAAATGGGCAGATCAATGATATAGAACAGATGGCTTAAAAATAGAGCTCATTATACAATACATGAGAACTTAATATATATTTAAAAAAGCATTACAGATGAATTGGGTAAGGGATGGAATATTGTATCCATCATATTGGGAAATTAGTTCTAGATGGATTAAAAAATTAAATATAAACAGTAAAATCATAGAAGGGAGAAAATTTCCCAAATGTTTTATAATAACACTAGAGGCCGATGCAAGAAGATTTATGCAAGAATAGACTTTCCTTCCCCTGGCTGCCAGCACCAACTTTGCTCCAGCTGGAGCCACCTTTCCGCCTTCCCATGTTGCCCAGAGGTCCTGAGCACACCGCCCCACCCTACCCTAGCCACTTGGTACCTGCATATGCAAATTAACCTACCATCTTTGTTATATTAATTTGCATACTCACTCCTGATTTGCTCATGGGTGTTGTGAAGGTACGGTCAATTTGCATCTTACTCTTTTATTAGTGTATATTCATTCCTTTTAATTTTTTTTTATATATATTTTATTGATTTTTTTACAGAGAAGAAGAGAGAGGGATAGAGTTAGAAACATCGATGAGAGAGAGACATCGATCAGCTGCCTCTTGCACACCCCCTACTGGGGATGTGCCCACAACCAAGGTACATGCCCTTGACCGGAATTGAACCTGGGACCCTTCAGACCGCAGGCCAACGCTCTATCCACTGAGCCAAACCAGTTTCGGCAGATTCATATCTTTTAGATCATGGGGTAAAGTGATATAAATAAAAAGGAGGAATCAGCCTTACACATGGATGTAACATATTTAATAGGATATAATCTGATAAGGATGCCCAGAGTATTTCTCATTTAATGATTTATTGAAAAACATCAATTGAGGGCGCTGTGCTAAGCATTGGCATTACAGAAGCAGGTGCTCATGTCATTATCTGAAATTCTACCATTAGTGATTAACTCCTCTTATAAAACATTGTTTCTAAAGGCATATTGCTGGAGGGGAGAGAAGGATGCTCATTTTGGAGGCTGGGCTACTTGACACAGCAGTCAGGTAGATGTGCACGAATAGGTAGGCAGTCACATTTCTAAAATGGCCACACATTTCCCATCAGTGCATGCCCTGTCTAAGGCCCTCCTCTTGAGTGTGGACAGGACCTGTGAATAAGATGAGACAACACTCTCATCATCAGGTCAGTAAGCAGTTGACCATCAAATGGGAAAGTATCCTGGGTGGGCCTGACCTAATCAGCCAAACCTTTAACCAAAGATGACCTTTCTCCAGCTGGCCTGGAAGAAAGCAAACACCATGCTGTGGATGTCCTGTGAGGGCCAGGCAGCAAGAGATTTTAGGTGGCTTCTAGGAGCTGAGAGCAATTCCCAGTCAGTAGCTAGTAAGAAGATTAGAATGGCCACAGGAAATGAGCTCTGCCAACAGCCAAATGAGCCCCAGATGAGAACTGTTTCCTCTTTTCAGTCTGGTGAGCCCCTGCGCAAAGGACCCAGCAAACCCATACCTGGACCTGACCCACAGAAACTTCAAATAGTAAATTTGTTTTTATTGTTTTACGCCTTTAAGTTTGTGGTGATTTGTTCGACAGCAATAGAAAAACAATACAGACCTAGAAAAAGACAATGCTACCCCTCCCCCATTCTGCACAAGGCCTGTCCTGGTGAGGGTTCTCTGTGTTCCCTGAAGACTAGCTATTCTTCTCACATGAGAAAAAAGTGAGTGTGGCATTTTCTGCAGCAGAGTGACACCCCTAAATCTGATCACATCCAGCCTCTCTGTCTGGATTATAGACCCCTTTAGATCAGAGGCCAGGTCTTTGTTTTGTAATTCCAACAATCAAGGGCCCCCCAAAAATTGTGAAGATTCAATTGCATGCATTCCATCCAGGGATCACTGTGAGCCAGTGACAGTGTGTGGCCATGGTCCAGCCACTGAACCTCTTGGTGTCCTGTGCTGTAATCTGGGGAATGGTAGCTGCCAGCTCACCTGCGAGTCAAGGGTTTTGTAAGGACAGGTGACAGCATGTGGGAAAAAGAGAGCTCTATTGAGTCCACACGTGCTTCTTGTCATTCTTTGTATCTAATCGTGCTTGCTCAGAGCTCACATTGTGCTAAACCTGACTGAGTGTAGCAGTATCGGCTTTAGAATCAAATGCTTGTGATTGCAGAGCGAGTCTGCTGAGCGCAGCAACAACGCCCAAATCCAGAGCCTCCCGCACATCTGAAAAACCAGGCCTTTTCAGATGGTTTCTGCTCCATAGGTTTCTGCTCCATAGGTTTCCTCAGGGTCTCAAGACATTTTTACTAAAAAAATTTTTTAAGAAAGAGAGGTTTTAACTTGTTTCAAAACTCTTTTAAAAAAAAGTCCTATACTTTGTTGATTTGCCTTAATTTTAAAAAGACAAAATAATTGCAGCATTGACAGTTACGTAAAAATTAAGCTCCTCCAGGGAATAGCTTTTGGCCATTTCTTTTTCATAATCCAAAAATAATATGACTAGAAGTGTTTTTATTAGTGACTTGTAAAATAATTTTTAACCTTCTACATTCTCATGACTTCTGGTGGCAATGCTAATATTCAACAGGTTAAATAATTATGATGCTTCCATGTGTCCTTTGTCCTAATGCTGACTGTGTGAGTAACACCCCTCATTATATACCCGTAGATTAAAATGATGGTGAGGCTAGCTCTTTGGTTAAAAAAAAGTATAAATTTAGTTGTGGAAGCCCAATAATTTCATTTACTTAGACCATATTTAAGACAGAGTTTTACACAGACCCAAATGATAAATTCGCTTTGGACCAAAGGTCCAAGTGAAGTAAGTCCTAACTTTCCCTTTGTGAGTACATTAGCTCAAATCTGTCCAGAAATTAAACACATTATAGTTTTGTCAGAAGAGAAAATCAGGTGCAAATGAATTCACACAAGAAGGAACCCTTGCAGTCTCCAAACGGGAGAGCTTATGAGAATCCTGTCTCCACTTGGAGGTGATCCCTGGCTGTGGCCTCTTGGGGACTCTTGTGTCCTCCTGTTCATCTCAATCTCCATTTATGCTAGCTGTGTCAAGACAGCCAGTTAGAATGTGAGCATCCACAGCTTGTGTACTACATCTCAACAAGTGAGAGAAAATTCCCCCTTAGAAAATTACTGCAGAATAGGGGTTACATGTTAGAGGAGTTAAAGATATGGCTAACCTATTATTAGAGGCCAGAAGAAAAGGAGAAACAGGTGTGAAATCAGTATTGTAATGAACAAAATTATTATTAACCTTGTTAATAAATGTCATTGATAAACACCAGAACAAATCATTTAATATTTGTGTGGAACTTCCTGCTTATAAAGCATGGATAATAAAATCACGCTCCATCTTCACTTCCTAGATTGTCTGCTCCCCCTTTAACAGATGGGAATACTGAGGCTAGGATTACCAGCTCATGTATTTCAGTGGCAGATTCAGGTCTACCTACTCCAGATCCTGTCGTATTCACGCCTCACTGCACCACTGACATGGTTTATAGTTACAAAACCTTGTGGGCTTTGCCACTTATAAGTTGGTGCCCTTGGGAGTAAGTTACTTCCCTCTGGGACTTTCTCCCTTTGGTCATCAGCAAAGTGATTTAAGAGGTAAGATGAGCCCTCTGGTCTGGCCCAGTGCTGAAATCCCATTATTCTAGGCAAATGCAAGGGTCACAAACAGAAGGGGAGAGGCATTAAGCTTTTATTTTTAGGAGGAAGCTCTGTGTTTCAGAAAGGGAGTGAAGCATAAGAAAAGGGAGGGATAAAGCAGAAATCCCTGCCTGGTGGAGCAGTGACATTTAATAAAGTGATTAGGCAGTGACATTAAATAAGTTCTCAAGCCATTTGAGTGGTTAATTGGCCAACTCTATTGAGGAGGTGTTTTCCTGAATACATCTGAGGATGTCAGTGGTAAAACTGGCAGAAAGTGTTTTGTTCTGGTTAGCTGCAACATCTTGATGCAAAACCTCTTATTTTGAGCAGAAAAAGAGAATAGACAGGATAAATGGCAAAACATTCGGGGTGGGTACTCCTACAGGGCGGGGGTGAACGTGGGTGCTATTAGATCAATGAGTTTTAATTTCCTCTGCTGTTGGGATGATCTGCCAGCTTCAACAGAAACAAAGGATGGTGCTTTAACTCCAATAATAGGCCCCCAGCTGCAGGTCAGAGAGCTGCAGCAGGGCCATGATGCCCCAACTGAAGCCAGGCAGAGGTTACACCCAGAACTCCACTGTCCTCTCCAGGCTCTGTGATAGGACCTTCAGTTTCACCTCCAGATCTGGCATGGAACTGGCAAGTGACATTTCAT